TTTAAATGTTTATTATTATTATTATTATTATTATTATTATTATTATTACTCAAATTCCTGTAAACTGGAACGAGCTAGGAACAACTGTGTCAATTTGGGATAATGCAAGTACACAACTTAACTACACATAGAACATAGCTCTAGAGTTTATACACTGTTTAATGAGGAAATCTTACAGATTATAGCTTTAAATGGACACTCCCTTGAAAAACCTCACTTTGGGAGTTATTGAGTGAGAAGAAACTTTATAAACTCTGTGAAACGCTGTCTATGACAGATGTTCTTTATTTGGGTCTTCTAGTAAATGTGGGAAATGTTACACATCAAGTTGTTTCCCAGCATGTTGGCTAGATTTCGTCACTGGGTCTCAATCAAAGCAGCAGGCCAAGTTCTCCTGACTTTTAGCCTGTAGTATGGATATAACTGGAAAAACCTCTGGACTCCACAATGAAACCAACAGCATCTTTTCATTAAAACTGACCTCTCCAAGTATATTCTCCAAGTCTCTGACAATGTTATCTTTGGTTTAAATCTGTTGATGCTTGACAGAACTGAATGTTTAACCTGATTGTGCGCTGTTGTTTTTCTACAGTCTGCTGGGAGTCATGTTTCCAATGCTGTGAGTGCTCTTCGCCATGGCGAGGGACGGCCTGCTCTTCAAGCCTCTTTGTTAAACAGTCGCAATTCTACACTGTCTCTAACATGCATTACTTGTCTTGGTCATTTAAAGAAGTGAAGTTTTTCTAAGGCCCATTCCCACAGACTCTAGTTTGCTCTGTAACATATCTGGATGTATTTGCAGCTTCTGCCATAAAACAGGAAGTTGTTGAACTTCAGCATACATGGTCCAATCTCCACCAAACTTCATGTTTAATAAGAGTCCCACCCTGAACTCATCTGCATGCCAATATATAGTCAGTGATATCGCCACCAGCTGGCAATAGAAAGTAAGCCTTGTGTGGTGATTATGATCTAATTTATATGAGATTTACAAGCTGTAGTCCACACATGATACACTCGCACAGCTGCAGCTTTAATTATCTTTATATTTTAATTCTGAATCTACCTTATCTAGTTTTTATTCTATTCTGTCTTATTATCAGCTTGTCAATCATCTGTGAAGCACTGTGAAAGGTGCTATATAAATAATACATTTGATTGATTGAAATGTTGCACAAAATTTATTTTGGGTACGGTTAAATAAAGAATAGAAATATTAACATAAAAAAAAATGCGGTTTTTCTGAGTCATTTATTTTTTGGTTTGTTTCTCTGAATTATGGAGATACTTTGAACTCCTGTGAGAACCTCCAACCTGCAGTGACTCCATGGACCTATGGTGACTCTGCCGCACCTTACATCGCCCATCTTCAATATCTACTTCGGTTCCTGCGTAGAGTGACACACTATGATAATAACATCTATATTGCACTTAAAGAAGATCATCGCCAGTGTCTGAAAACAGATCATTAGTAACTGGACTGAACTAAAAACTGTCATGTTTGGTGTTCGGTTAAAGTCGAGTCTCAATAAAGTAAGAATGCGTCTATTGTTTCAAATGTACGACGGTGTATTAAGGCCACTAAGAAAAAAATATATTTTATTATTTTTTTAAATTCCGAGAATAATTCAAATAATAAATATTATGACTTTATTCTCGTAATCCCCCCCCAACAATATATTCTCTTAGTATGGCCCTAATACTCCATCATACAAATGCTCTCTAAACTCAGAAAAAAACGAAAGAATTATTATTATTCAGAAAATCTGAAAAAAAATTGTCCGAAAAACAAACCAAAAAAAAAAAAGACTCTGAAAAACACAAATAATTTCTCAGAAAAACAAACCAAAAAAATAAAATTTCAAGTGAATGCAATAGCTTCCGTAGCTTCCCAACATCCCTGCTTTTATTTAGTTATTTGTGTAATCTGTGTGATTTTATTGTGAAAACTGAGTCCCGGAAGTGAGCGCTGTGTGCTGCAGCTTGACATCCGGTTCCAGCTGCAGCTGAGGAGCTGAGAGTGAAGCACATGCTGAACTGAGGTGAAGGATTCTTCTGTTTCACTTGAAGCTTTAACTGAAGTGCTCGGCTCTTTTTGGGAGCGTTGTTTTATTCTTTTATTGCTTCGGTGTTTTCTGTGTCTGTGTGTTTGAGTGACGGAAATAGAGTCAGTGACAGGCAGCTCAGGAGCTAATAGTTAGCAGCTAACATCAGCAAGCTCCTTTTCTGTCAGTGAGTCAACTGATTCACTGATTCTGGATAGTTCCTGTGATATTAATGCACACACAGTGACAGTTAGAGAACAGCTGCTGGACTTTACATAGGGAACACAATCCCTGCAGGACGTTGGTGGAAAAGCACAAATGTTGATGAATTTTGATGATTAAATCTCACAAATGAGTTTTCCTCATACTTTAGGGAACTTTCTCTACAACCCAGTTTGTTCCCTAAAGATCTCTCCTTTCATTTCATTGATTTCATTTAGCCAACGATGATTTTATTGTGTTTACCTGCTCGTGTTGTCACAGCTGCAGCTGAGAAAGTTATTTCATATAGAAAATCCTGCTTCTGATTGAAGAAAGGAATAATCTGAAAACAACAGGAAACTTTCTCAGCTGCAGCTGTACAGACACAAGTTAGATTTTTAAAAGTATTCATTTCAAAAAAAGGTGTTTAATATAGTAATTGTTAATTTATTAATAATTTCTGCATATATTTACTTTTCTAATAGCAAAGCTTTTTGTTTAAATGTCACACTTAGAATATCATATTGTGATGTTTGATTTAGTGACATTGCATTCTCTAATCTGCTGTATTGATTGTTGTGTTCAAACCTCCAGCTGTGAGACAAACTGGCTCTGATGTTGGATGTTATAGGATAATTCATTGTTCTGCTTCCATAAAAACCTTGTTAAACTCAGATTTGATCCAGATGGTGGAGAGTTCTTTAGACTGTCAGTTTTCCTTAAAAAAGCAGATTGTTGCCCAAACACAACCCTGTGTGGCTGTAATGTGATACTTTGTCTGAGAGAGAGTGAGGGTTTATAGGGTTGACGTATTTAAAGTGAACCACCAATAACAAGGCCATTTATAATGTGGGAATAAAGCTTTACACTGATGAACTGAATGTAACCGCTGCTGCTCCTCACTCACTCAGGCAGAGTCATGGTGGTGAAGAAGAAGACGGCCAGAGTGGAGGCCGTGGTTCTGGATGAGGACAAACTGCACCAGCTGATAGGTAACGTGGCCAAAGTGCTGACGAGCAAACGCATTACGGTGACTAAGTGATTAATAGCTGTGTGTGATCTTTGCCAGCGTCCCTCTCTGTGGGTGGAGGAGAGGATGGAGTCAGGCAGCTGGCTCAGACCCTGCAGTCCTGTTTGGAGCTGACGGAGCCCGTGCAGCAGATCCAGCTGGTTAAAAAGGTAAACGGTTGTTTTATTGGAGCGATGAGCCGCAACAATGAGTTAATGTATCAGTTCTGTGTAAACTAATCAATGAATCACTTCTTATTTTAATAGCTTCATTGTTTTAAGTAAGTGTTTAATCTGAATATCTTTGTGTTTGAGGACGTCACCTTCAGCTTTAGGAAACATCTTTCAGTGTATCCACACGTCCTGGAAAACCTGGAAATTTAGAGAGTACTTTTCCAGGCTGGAAATTGATTCAAATGACCAAATATCCTGGAAATAATCTGTGTTGTTCTGGAACACTTAAATTGTATGTTAGTCCGAGCTGTGGTCAAATTAATGTTAGAGAAAAACAGATCGACTGTGGTCAGAACGGACGAGCAGCCTGGAAAACAATTTCTTCCAAAGACTTTCTGATATTTTATGGACCAACGACCAGAAGAGGCAAAAGTACAGATGTTCTTTACTCTAGTAGAAGTACAGATATTTGAGTAAAAGTACTGATTTAACTTCTTTAATCAAGTAAAAGTGAGAAAGTACTGGCTCTGCTGTATCCTCAAAGTATAAAAGTACTCTTTTGGTTTCTCTGAAGGACATTTCTACCGACAATCAATAATTCCCCTCAGATATATTAAAACTAACGAGTAATGAGCCTGTTATAAAGTAAAAAGTTACTAAATACACTAGTAAAGTACAGCTACCTTAAAAGACTCCTTTAGTGCAGTAACAAAGTATTTGTACTTAGTTACTTCCCATTAGTTGCTTTATGTCATTCCTTATGTGGAGGGAGTGCTTCCATACAGATTCTATGCACTGTGTGTCCCTCCTGTCTCCAGGCAGGGTCCCAGCTGGAGGCGCTGAGTGAGGAGCAGCCTGATGGAGCTCTTCTAGACGCCTGTCTGCACACCCTGTCTCTGGTCTACACCTCCCTGCAGGCCAAGAACCCCCTACGAAGAGCCATTGCCAGGTACGAGGACAGAAAGGAAAACCCAAACTACCAAACTAACTCCAGCAGTTAGTCAGGAGCTGCTTTTATCCTCTGGATGTTTTGTGAATGTGTCTGTGCTCTCTCAGTGCCTTAGCTTCAGTACCCGTCTGGCTACAAGAGCGCGCTGTGAACCGTCTGTCTGCCTGCGTGTCTGACTGTCTGTCCGACCCGGCTCCAGACCGGTATCCACACGTGGTCGACTCCGTCGCTGCCTGTCTGGATGGATTCGCTCTCGGTGAGTGTTTGCTCTCACCCACAGACGGATAAATCTCACTTCCTGTTCAGATAAATAACTACCCTTCCAACATTCTCCATCTGCAGGTGAGAGATGTGTCCACAAACTGCTGCCTGAAGGTTAGTGTCCAACTTACTCTTTAACAGTTAAAGAAAGTTACAGAGAGGAATGTCTGATGAGTAAAACCTCTCAGTGACGAAGCTTACAGGCACTAAATGTTCAGTTATTTACTCTTATTCTGAAAAAGACAATATTCCTATTAAGCTGTTTACATGGCTAATGAAAATGTTTGTTCCACTAATATTCCTGTTTACATGCAGCTATGCATACTCACATTAACCTGTTAGGTTACACTGTTGTATGACAAGCATGATAAAGACTATCAGTTGTTTTACATACAAATTATTGACTGATAGTTTATAGGCTGTAATTTAAGTATCCCAACAATTCATAACAATATACATTTTCCCATTATTGGACGATAATCAATATCTGTCCTGAGCTCTACTTTAGAAGTCAGTGTGTTTCTTCTTGTGACCAGAAATATGGGTTTTTCTTTTGTATCTCTCTCAAACTGCTGGTTGGTCTGTTGACAGCGTACAGAGCCGACAGACAAACTGTGATAAATGTCCCACGTGTCTTAATTGGAATATGTAAATATAACCCTGATCATATAATAGTGAAAACGTGTCTGCCTCTCTTCTCCTCTGTGTAGTGTTGCAGTTCCTTCACAAGGGGTTGAGTGAATACCTTCACCAGAACAGGTAAAGAGGCATATTCAGTCTCTCTCTGTCTTTTTATAACATATTACACACTGGGCCTCACGCAGCTACATTCCCTTTCATTTCTCTTTTAATTTCTCTTTTCTAGCGGTCTAGCTGGGCGCCACATTGCCCAGGCCCAGCTGATGCAGTCCTGTCTGGCCGCGGTGAAGACCTCCATGCTGGTGATCCAGAGGTCTCAGGAGGCCATCAGCGCCGCCCTGGAGGCTGAGCAGAGTGAGTGCGAGCTGGAAGACACGCTGAGCAGCCTCCTGGGCTCCTACATACACATCCTCACTGACGGTAAGAACACGTAAGAACAGCACATACAGAGAGCCAGCTGATGGAGGTACACATGGAGACCTCGCTACTTTATTTTTGTTCCGCCTGTTTTTATGCTGTTTTGGTTCCCCTCTTTATAGTCAGAGTATAGTAAATAATAATAATATAAAATCTTATTATCGTTATTGTTTTAAGAGTAATAATCTGTGTTGATATGTATGACTTTTTCTTTACCAGCAGTGTGTGAAGGTTGTTTATTATCTGTTTTATTAGCTATTATCTTATCTTATACGTTTAGGACTGTATTTTTACTTTTTGCTGTTTTTATACTAGTAGTATCAAAGTTTAACATTTTAAATAAACTTCACAAACTCCTGATTGTTCTTTAATTTTAAATGAGAAATAAGAAACCATAAACAAACATGTGTTCGTGCTCCATTCGTCCTCCTGTCTCTAGAGGAGTTCATCCAGTCCGTCCAGAGTACGGCCGGCATGGCTGTGGTGTTATTGATCAGGTCTGTCATCGGCTGTGGAGACAAAGTTGCTTCTGTGGTGAGTTAAAAATGAAGAATTCAGCATTGTGCACATAATATCTGAGAATATTTACTGCTGTTCTGAATGAGATTGTCTTCTAAAGTGATGATAAATAAATAAATACAATCTGAATTTAACATGTAGCACAGCAAGTTTAACAGTAGTACAATAATATAACTACTCTAATAATATAATAATAAAACAGTTTCCATGTGGAACCTGCAGTTATTCTCTTGGTCCATCTCGTGTGTGTGTGTCAGGTGTGCAGTCTGCTGCGTAGCTCAGCCCAGGGTTTGGACTCGGCCCCTCAGTGGCTAAAGCAGAGGTGTGAGGGTCTGTGCACCAGTGGTCGCCCGCCGGGTGTCTCTCTGTACCTGTGTCATGGCGCTCTGGCCATGTTGAGCTGGAAGGGCGCCCTCCCTGGGCCCCAGTGGGAACAGCTGCTGCTGCTGGTCCCGGACACACTGCTGGATCTCGATGTCAGGTACGTCCGCTAACTGACGACTCCACGCTGTAACCCTCCATCATTAAAAACCATCTGAAGATTAGTGTGAACCAGCAGTCTGTTTTCTTCAGCATAAAGGAGTCCAGCACAGCCATGGTGGTGGCTCGGGTTCTGACCCTGTGGAGCAGCGCGGCCCTGGACTGCCTGCAGGGCGAGAGCCAGCCCTGCCCCCCTCGCCTCCAGCAGTCCCTCAGCGGAGGTTCAGAGCTACAGCAACACCTGCTGGAGCACATCTACTCCCACTGGGAGCACCCACTGGACGGGGTCCGCCACCAAACCCGCTCTCTGTTCCGCAACCTCCTCCTCCTCCATCAGCACACCGACCCCTCCACTTCTGACCCAACCCAGGACTCTTACGTCACAGAGCTCACCCAGAGTCTGCTGGGACTGGAGTGGCACATGAGGGGGAAGTACGGCTCGTTGGGCTGCCTCGTGGAGCTCTACGGGGCCAGGTACCTGCTTCACATCCAGCCCCAGCTGCCTTCATGTCTGCTGGGCCTGATGGGGGACCAGACCCTGGCTCCTTACGCCAGCGACCTCCTGGAGAGGCTGTTTGTCAGCCACAGGGCACAGCTGGCCGGCGAGGCCACAGAGGACTGGATGGAGCCCTGGCACCGGACGTGGGTAACCCCCCTGTTACAGGTGCTGTGCCGTGCCAGACTGGACCAGACCACATACATCCTGGACTATTTCCTGCCCAAGCTGCTACGCTGCAGCCCGTCCAGTCTGGCACACATGGTGGAGGCCTTGCAGGACACGCCGCCATGCAGCGCAGGTAACGTCTGCATCAGTGGTTCGATATGACGATAGAAGAGCGTCCATTGTTTCAGATTTTGCTCTATTGAATGATTACCAGGTCCACCGTCTCGAGTCACCAGTGCGCTTTTCTTCTTCTTTCTTTTTTCTTTCTTTCTCTTCCTCTCTCTGCTTGAACGTGGTTCGCAGGACGTTAAAGTACCCGTGTGACCCGCAAGTAAGTCCTTATATTTAAAGACATTCCATTTATTTTACTATAGAATTTGCACAAATTTTCTAAATAATGAGAAATAATCTTTGTGATACTCAACAAGTAATGTAATACAAATTTCCATGTAGTCACTTTATATAAACTATTCATTGAACAGAATATATATATGAGAACAGCCCTTCACGCCCTGAATATCTGCAGTTCTAGTGTCTCTCTGTCCTTCTGGATGTCGGCTGCACATGAACGTCTCTCCACAAGTTAAAGATCTTGTTCCTACTGTCTTTTTAACAATGGGAGCATTCTGTAACACAGTCCTGGCAGGTGAATGTAAATGTAGAACCAGTCTCAGTTCTTCTGTCCCCGTTAGGTCCCTCGGGCAGCAGGGGTGCACTGGGAGCTCTCATGACGTGCCTGCGAGCAGCCAGAGCCCAGGGTGTTGTTCCATCCTCAGAGGAGGGTCTGTGGGGGGGACTGGTGCCCCTCTCCCTACTGCAGCAAGCACTGGTGCACAAACATGATCAGGTGAGTGTGTCTGTGTCCAGTTTTATGTGTTTTTTTAAAAATCTTTTTATACATTTTGTGCAGCATATGTCTTTAATTTATGTGTCCTCAAATCCAACCGCCCAGGTGAGGATGGACGCTTTGGGCTTAGTGTGCGAGAGCCACCGCAGCACTGAAGTTGTGACCTCACAGGAAATGGATCTGATCCGCCACTTCCTGCCACCGAATCTTAACAGTCAGTCACCAGGTGTTAGACAGCAGACGGTCAGCCTGCTGAAGAAGGTCAGTACACCTCACATTGTCTCTGGTGTGTGTTATTTTCAATGTTAAGCAGGATTTATCTTTAACACTAGGACTGCTGGAACTCTAGCTCCCCCTACAGGCACAAGTTCACAAGTTCAAAAGTTCACAAAGTGCTTGAAGTGGAAAGAAATCACCACTTATTGACATGTGGGCATGTGTATGATGGTGTTTTACTTTAGAGATAATTAAGTTTTCCAGTCATGAAAATAATCTAGTTCAGAAAACCTCAAAAACACATGGTGATGTTAATGTTAATGATCAAATCAACTTAATGGAGCCTTACCTCCTCTGCTGTACAGTTGCTTTGTAGAATGAAGGACAGCACTCTGCTGCTGCAGAAGAGGCTGATCCAGGAGAGAGACCAGGAGCAGAGAGACCGAGACCAGCAGACACTACATCTGTACAAGGTATACAGAACCACACACATTGAACACAACAATACCAGCGGAGTCTTTTTGTTTTCATAAAAATAAACTTGTTGTTATGCAGGAGTTCCTGCGCTGGGTGTGTGTGAGCCTGCTGGAGGTTTTGCTTCCTGGAGCTTCCTTCTCTAAATGCCTGATGTCGCTCCACCTGCTGTGTGTGCTGGGCCAGCTCTTCACCTTCAGCACAGGTACGCCTACTGCACATCGGACTTCACAAACATCTCAGCTGTGTTGTTACTTCAGTACCACACCAGACCTTTTAAATTTGTCCTGGAGGAGGGTCCCCAGAAAAATAGGAAATATTCAATTCTTATTATCTAACTAACGACTATTCTTAGTGTTAATCTGCCAGTCTACAGTATCGACAGTTAGAAATAACCAAATCTTATCAGACGGGTATCAGAGACTACATCTTATCAAATACAGGCCTGATGTGTATCAGTTTGGGGGTCCTTGACACCAAAAAGCTGCTGTTCAGTATATATAGCACATGTAAATGTTGCAAAGGTTCACCAAAGGTTCAGAGGAGTTCAGTGCTTTACTCAAGGACACCTCCGTGATGATGCTTGGCACATTGTCTCAGCTCACAGCTCTGAAGTACATCTTTCTGTTGATGCCTGAACCAGCAGTCTATCCACCACTGGCCAGCTTCTTTACTCTGATGCCAACCTGACGCTCCAGCTGGCTCTTTGTGCGCTCTACCTCTTCCTCTCCTAACCTCTACCCCGCTCGTTCTCCTCAGGGCCCAACGTGTTTGCCCTCGGTGAAGTTGTGACCTCTGACCATGCTCAGAATGTCCTCTACTGCGTCGCCAGCAACTTCCTGGAAGTCAAACAGCTGGCCTCGACGTTACTGCGGCAACTCCCGCCATCAGCTGTGGGCCTGCAGGTTAATACGAGGACCGAGCTCAGTCACTACACTGAAATTAAGTTTAAAATGTGGTGCTGATGTTTTATAGCACCGTTACTGCACTTTGAGGTTGATGTTTCAGTGATGTGATGTTATGATATGATGTCAGGATCAGGAGAGGATGTGTGGTGTCCTTCGGGCCGCTCTGGACCTCAGTACCAGCACCAGGCCTTTTGACAGCGTTTCAGCAGCCCACCTGCTCAACCTGCTGCTCCACCAGCCGCACCTGAGCCAGACTCTGCTGCACTGTGCGCAGGAGCAGGGCTTAGATTTCCAGCCTCCCTCCCCGCCGCCACAGCCTTCTGAAGCAGTTACCTTGGAGCTCAACACACTGGCTGGTAAGATCCAGATGCATAGCCCTAATAAATGTATGTGTGTGAATATATTGTGTTAAATGTAAGGATTGTATGGCTCTTCTGTCCTCAGTGGTTCAGTTCTTACTGCACTGTCTGCAGTTAGAGGTGTCGAAGGCGGAGTCCTCTCTCTTGCAGGCAGCGGCTTCCTCTCCTCTCTATGGCAGAGCCCACTGCATCACAGCGGTCCTGCAGCATCTCAACACTGAGTGAGAACTCCTCCTTAAAAACCTGCTTCAGTTTGGGTCTAACAGCATGTATTTGAAGAACAAATTCACCCACCACCATCTTATTGGTTTAATATCTGTGTATCAGGAGTTTGAGCCGGACCGAGCAGTGGAGATGTCTGGTGTCAGAGCTCATTGCTGTGTGCTACAGGATGTCTGATGTGGTCTCCCCTGTAGTCCAGAGCTCCTCCCCTGAAGGACTCATCCCAATGGATACAGACTCAGGTAAACTCCCACACGTTCTGGAAAACCTGGAAATTTAGAGGACTAGTTTTCCAGTCATGGGTAAGCCTTGAAATTGATTAAATGACAAATCCTGGGAGATTTTATATGTATTTTAGCCTACTCGATCGCTACATTTGTTAGTTGATGAAACTTAAGCTAGTTGGTAGGAGTAAACCAGATTGGTACATGATGCAGGACTCTTTTTGGTTCAGTCTGATAATAGAATCGAATTTTCATGAAAGCGACATTTTTGTTTGGATTAACAACACGTGCAAAAATATAATAGACTTTTAATGACTAATAGGTGGAGAAGATACATTTTCTGAAAATGAATTTGACCATTACTTGATGTTACAGTCAGATGAAAGCTGTAGGAAACTGTAGTCACTAACGAGTGTCTCGTAAACGCCTCTAATGAACCTGAGACACTTCA